GGGGTTTAATGGGTCTATAATGTGGTAAAACACAAATCTCATGATGGAACCTTAGCATCATGAGCAAGGTATTTTCATTAGTGATACCATATGAGAAAACTCTTAACATTAGACACTTGGGACCCCATATGAATCAAAACTATTTTATGTGAACTCTAACCAACAGAATAAGAATAATAATGGGCAGAATAGGAGAATCACTAGATGATAGAATAACAACAATAAGAGGCCAACCTGTACATATTATAGTTTTGTTAGTCACACTGTTGATAAGTGTTATAAGAAACATAGGTATCCTCCAGGTTGTGAGCCTCAAATGAGGGATACATTGGGTATTAATCAAATCAGTACGCAATCAGTTAAGAGTAACTTTGAGAACAATAAATCTTAAGAAAATTCCAATCTTTCGGACAACAACTCAGAAGGCTTGTCTCTCTCTTCCATGAAAGACTAATACCAAAACCTTCTGGAATAGTATCAAAAACTCTTGACCCCGATGCAATCTATTGCTTTTGCTTTTCCCAATGTAATAATAAAAAATGTTATGCTATAAGTAAACACACTTACTACCACTTCCAACCTAGATGCACACAAGGTATAAACTCTTTCTTATCTTTACATATTATATCAAATGAATAGATTATTGACTCAGGTACTACAAATCATGTAGTTAATTTATTTGAGATGTTTAGTCTATATAAACCGATCATAAATATGCATATAAATTTACCTAACTCATAATCAGTCCAAATTACCCACATTGGGAAAGTTTGTCTTTCACCTACATGGTCCTTCATAATACCATATATACACCTTATTTTACCTTGAATTTAATATATGTGAGTAACTTGTTAAAAGATTCTCCCTGTTGTTTGACCTTTCATAATACCTTTTATATCATTAAGGATATTCACACTCAAATGAGAATTGGTTTAGCTAAAAAGAGGCAAGGGCTGTGTTATTTTGAGGCAAGAAAAATACCCACTGTAAATGTTGTTAAGTCAAAGTCCTTTAGTTTGTTTTATTTCTTCTCAATGTAATGTCTTTGTCAATAACCACAATTTATGGCACTTTTGTCTTGGCTACCATTCCACGTGAAGACTACATGTAATAAGTCAAATAGATGAGTATGTTATTCCTTGTAATTCTTTCAATTGTGATGTTTGTCATCTTTTAAAAGAAAAATGATTGTCATTTTCTATCAGTACTTCAATCAGTAAAGCTTGTTTTGCTTTAGTTCATATTAACATCTGAGGTCCTTTGTCCATTTCCTCTATTTATGGCCATCATTATTTTCTTACTATTGTTGATGACAAAAGTCGGTATACTTAGTTGTATCTAATAAAAAGTAAAAAAAAGTAAGAAATTTGGTTATTAATTTCTTTGCACATGTAAAAACTCAACATAGAGCAAAGATAAAATGCATTCATACTGATAATGGACCAAAATTTAAAATGCCAGAATTTCTTGCCACTAAAGGAGTTATACATCAATGTTCATTTCCATACACACCATAACAAAATGATGTAGTGGAACAGAAGCATCAACATATTTTAAATGTGGCACGATCTTTGATGTTTTAATCCAATCTACCTAAAAAGTTATGGGTAGACTGTGATACACATGCAATTTACTTAATCAACCGGTTACCTTCTCCAGTCATTAACAATAGGACTCCCTTTAAGCTGTTATTTCTTTCTCTTCCAGAATATAAACATCTAAAAATTTTTGGATGCTTATGTTATTCATTTAATCTTTTGTCCAGTAAATCTAAATTTGATTACCGGGTAACTAAATATCTTTTTTTGGGATATCTTCCTCACATAAAAGGGTTTAAGGTATATGATTAGGCATCTTAAAGGGTGTTT